CCTCCACCACCAAAGCAATTACCAAAACTAAAAAAGACGTGCCCGAAGGGATTGCCCTGGACCACTGGACAGCCCTCACTGCAACCAAACCTGTGCGAGGACCGGCACCGGTAACGCCTGAGTCCAAAAGGCCCCGGACAGCAGCAGCACAAATAGAGTGCGGGAATACGCCACCTCCTGCGCCACCGAGGGAACGTCAGCGTAGCCAAACCGGCGACGACCAGCTGACGTGGAAAAAAAAGGAAATCAAATGAGGAGAAATTTTTTTTATCCATGCACTGCGTTGCATAATTTTTTTGATTGCACTGCGATGCATATTTTTTTATACTATAATATTTTTTGAAAAATTGAGCGGAACCTCTTTTGCCCAATTTGAAAGTATGGCCCGTATAGCTGTACAAATAATAGGTAGGAAAAAATGTTAGATAAGAAAAAGACAAAATTTAGGAAAAATTTTTTTAAATTAAAGAAAAAAATACGATAAATCCCAAAAATTTATGTAAAATTTTAATGAAAGAAAAAAATAAATTCAAAAATGGCATAAATTCCTAAAATTTATGAAACATTTTAATACCCTTTAATGAGAAGTAATAGCATAAGTAAAACAGATCAAAGAAATGATTCTGACTATTACTTCCCAGAAAAATTAAGTTACATTGCAAAACATGACTCAGAGAAAAATATAATTGAAATTGGAAAAACAAAAACATATAAACTATCTAAAATGGGTTTAGTAGACACGAAAGTCGTAGATTCCACGGCAAATGTCGTTAATAAAATTGAACCAGGAAAAATCGATCTTCAAACAATTACAATATTGTTAATGATAATCGTCATTATAATGTTAGCAAGCGTTTTAGCTAAAATTATATAAATTACACAATAAATGTTTAAAGAAAAAATTCCAGAGTCAAGCAAATGACCTGGACAAAATCTAAATAAAAAACCAAAAAAAAAAAAAAAAAAAAACAAACAAAATTATTGTACACAAATGTAAACACCTACAATCTAAGACAATGAAATAAAAGAAAATAAATATTAAAATATATTACGTAATTATCTCTACAAAAGTATGGCTAAACTAAAGGCATGGATTGGAAAAAATTGTACGAGGAGTTATCAATAATTAAAACAAATTTTGACAAATTGTACAAGTCCCTAACTCAGAATAGACCCATTCAAAAGAATACGGTTAGGAAACACGTTGAAATATTAGTAGAGTGCTTTAATGAAGCGCGTATGCTAATACATGATCATAGAGAAAGATTAAATCAGGATCATTGGTCACAGGTATCGAAACTTTTGATACGACTACGATCCAATTTAATATTTATTAAACAAAAGTTCAGTTTAGAAATATCGTTACCAACCGTTCTAAACACTCCAATAGCAGTTGACACTGCACCTGACTCGGAATCAACAGAATCGAAAGAATCTGAGTCAGAAGAGCTTCCCAAAGTAAACCCCAAAATAGAAGATAAAGATTTAAATAATCTTACTATTCCGGCGGTATACACTGATCTGGATAACTCTACAGATTCAGATACTTCGAGTGTCATAGAATACAAGATAGATAAATCCATCACAATGGCACAATCAAATATTGATTTTATTAATACAGCATCTAAGCTTATACCAGTTTTTGATGGTAAGGCTGAAAATTTAACAAGTTTCATTGATGCTTTACAAATAATACAATCAATAAAAGGCGAGCACTGAAGAATTAGCTATTTCCATCATTAAAACAAAGCTAAAAGGTGTCGCCAGGAATCTAATCGGTAATGAAACAACAATTACTGAGGTGATTGCTAGACTAAGAAGCAACGTCAAAGGCGAAACTGTTGAGGTATTATCAGCGAAGCTGATGAATCTACAGCAGCGCAATAAAACTGCTAACCAATACACACAAGAAATTGAGCAGATGACGAAAGCCTTAGAAGGTGCATATATATCAGATGGTTTATCTTTAGAGCTAGCCAGGAATTATTCCATGCAGCATGCAGTCAAAGCAATGACTAAAAACTGCACAATTGATAAGGTAAAACTTATCATGCAAGCAGGCACATTCAGTACTATGAACGAAGCCGTTTCAAATTCGTCAATAGTTGCACTGAAGCAACTGGGCAGTCGACTTTACAGTCGAAAATTTTTAGGGAAAAGATAATCATGAAGCTGATGCGTTATCAAGAATAACCATCAAAGATCTACAAAATATAACTAGAAATGTATTAAAAGTCACTACTAGATATCAAAGTAGACAAAAAATTCCGCGCGGAAAATCAAGAACAAGAATTGCCAAGGCAATCTTTAAATAAAGCTTCTAAGCCCAACGTATACGACGTCATAAACAATGATGAAGTACGTAAAGTAGTGACCTTGCAGATAAAAAATATGTTATGTTTATTTAAACAAGGCAGAAAAATTACTGCAAGATATGATGTTAGCGATTTATATACTAATGGAGTTATTGATTTAGATCAATTTTTCCAAAGGCTTGAAATGCAAGCCGGTATACATAAAATCAGCCAACTCAAAGTGGCACCGTGGGAAAATATCTTTGAATATACTTCAATAGATAAATTTAAATTAATGGGCAATAAAATATTGAAAACATTAAGAGTAGCGCTACTCAACCCGGTGACCCAAATAACAAATTTAAAAGAAAAGAAGCAATTTTGTCTACATTTCATGATGATCCAATTCAAGGAGGTCATACTGGCATATCAAAAACTTTGGCCAAAGTAAAAAGACACTATTACTGGAAAAGCATGTCTAAAGATATAACTGAGTACGTAAGAAAATGTCAAAATGCCAGAAATCAAAAATAACAAAACACACAAAGACCCCTTTAACAATTACAGACACACCAATAAATGCTTTCGACAGAGTGATAGTGGACACTATTGGTCCACTGCCAAAATCAGAAAATGGCAATGAGTATGCAGTCACTTTAATATGTGATTTAACTAAGTATTTAGTTGCCATACCTGTTCCGAATAAAAACGCCAATACTGTCGCTAAAGCAATATTTGAATCTTTTATCCTGAAGTACGGTCCAATGAAGACGTTCATTACGGACATGGGAACAGAATATAAGAATTCAATTATAGACGATTTGTGCGAATATTTAAATATTGAAAATATTACATCCACAGCACACCACCACCAGACAGTTGGAACAATAGAAAGAAGTCATAGAACTTTCAATGAATACATACGATCTTACATATCGGCTGATAAAACTGATTGGGACGTATGGCTTCAATATTTTGTCTTCTGTTTCAACACGACCCCCTCTATGGCACATACTTATTGTCCATATGAGCTAGTATTCGGTAAAACAAGTAATTTGCCAAAACATTTTAATAGCATAGATAGTGTAGAAGCACTATATAATATAGATGACTATGCTAAGGAGAGTAAGTATAGATTAGAAGTAGCCTATAAAAGAGCTAGAGTTATGTTAGAAGCGAATAAGAATAGAAATAAACTACTATACGATCATAAAGTAAGGGATATAGATATATCAGTAGGTGACAAAGTTTTATTAAAAAACGAGACAGGTCATAAGTTAGATCCTAAATATACAGGTCCGTATATAGTAACGGAAATAGGAGATAGAGATAACATAGTAATAGCAAATAATAAACATAAAAAACAAAAGTTCATAAGGATAGATTAAAAATCTTTATTTCATAATTTGCACTTAGTATGGCCATACAAAGACACACATACATAGATAAATAAATACACATACTCTTTTAATAATTTCATTTTCTATGATTCTAACCACATAAAACAAAACAAATAAATAAAAAAAAAATGTATTAATTAAAAATTTTTATTATAAAAATAACTTCATTATATTACGTTATTTTTCAAAAGGAGGGAGATGTAGTATGCACATATATTGAGTACCCACTGTACCGAGAGTACTTAAAGGGTGCGCACTGTAACACTTTGTTGCAGTGTTTACATTATCCAAAGTCCCGGTCATAAACCCTAAGTGGCCGAAATATGAACCGATCGTTATGCCTTAGCCCGCACACAGAAAGTGCTAGTGTCAGCATAATCGTAACAAACGGTCAGCATATGCATACCCCTCGCGCCTCCACTTGAGAGCGCATAACAACATATATTATTATATTCCTTTATATATAAGTACATAGCCGTCTCTCTGCCGCCGCCTGCGAGCAGCGCTGCTACGAGACTTAGCCTTACTTAGACTTAAGAAATATTGTAAAAGAACAGAGACATTTTAAATGATGGAGCGGCACCTTTGCTGCTCCTTCCAAATAAAGACCAACTAAAACCAATCCCCTGGAGTTATCCTATCACAGCTATATGAACGGTGAATTCCAGCGGCGTGTCGAGTACAAGCCCGAACTGAGATTCCACGGTGAATGTATAGCTGATCTGCTATGTATATATGATGATACGTCCTTCTGGGTCCACCCGGGGGCGCCAAAAAATGTTTGCTCCAAATTGGCAAACTGCGAAAATGCCTGTTTCAGGCCAGCAACTATGTTCCCAGTAACAACGCATCAACCGATTTCAATCCAAGTTCTTTTATTACTGTTTCCTATCTGCTCCTTCTATTCTTTTCTTCGAAACTGCAACGCAGCGAGTAACAAGAGCGAGTACTACTTACTACTTAACAGAGTGATAACATTTTTAGGCGGTACAATTCAAATTCCTAAGTATGGGAGTAAGGAACACACGTAGAGATCTTGCAGCTCGTGCTCGTTGGGGGTTATTTTATTTGCTCGTAGCTTGCTAGGCCCCGTCTCATAGCTAAGTAGCCCAAGTTGCGAGTTCTACGTATTTCCCTTACCTATTATTTTTTAAACAAGTTACGACTAAACAAGCGGGTTCTTCACTCTTTAAGTAGCTTAAAAATGGGGTTGAAAAATTACCCCTACACCTTATTGAGCATTATCTCAGAAATAAGAGGATGCGCCAATAAGCGCGATACACCAAACTAATGCATTGGGAAAGCTGCCAACTCTGTACTCTTTAGTGTTGCTGAGATCAGATAACGATGACCGATTTCGATTTCGATATTTAATCGCCAAGCGCCAAGCGATCAACAACTTTCGAAATTAACCATTTTTTTGTGTTTTGCGTGTTTTGTGCAAATTGCATTTTGAACGGGGAGATTTCGAGTGAGACCGAACCGATGGCCACGCTACGGAACCACACGGGTAATGAGAATTCCGGCGAGGACTCGCCTTGTGTATGTGCAGCGGAGTGTGGCACTGCTCGGCACCAAGGTGCAGCCGCATCATTTTGCTCCCCTGCCGGGAAATCTGGAACTAGCCCGCTTCTATGTGGACCTGCACGCTCTGATGGGCGCCTTAGACACCGAGGGCTCAGGGGCGGAAGTCCTTTGGTCCTGCGTGGCGCTCATCCAGCACTGTAGTCGCAACCTGGAGGCTCGCCGGGCCATTGTGGTCAAGTTCTGTTTTGTGCCGCTGCTGGGAATGATTCTGCGCCGCACCCAGCGGGCGGAACGTGTCCACCGGCTGCTGGTACTTCTGCAGGATTTGACCTACGGCATACAAATCGACTGGGAGGAGCCCTACCTGGCAGCCCTGCTAGAGCACCTGGCAGAGATAGTACACGGAGTAGAGGATGGCTCTGCAAGGCCGACGAGGAGGAGAACTCGCACGCCCTGCTAGCTCTTTCTATTCTGGTTAACCTCTGCTACAAGAACTTTGCCGTGCTGTTCCTCTTCCAAAGGATTGTAAACATCTCTGGATTCTGTCGCCGCATCCAAAACTATGGTCTACTAGCTTACAAAATGCAAATTATCCTCTCGGAGGAGGTTCATGCCTTTGAGCAGCGGGAACTCCACACCTTCCTACGTACAGCCTTCGCCGGCATGGAGGACTGTCTTAAGCACTGGAACGTGGCGCAGTTAAGGCACATTGTGGACTTTTTGCTTGACTCCCAGTCCCACGCCGGCCTGCACAGGGCCATGCTCTCGCACAGTCATTACTGCGAGGATGTGGAAAAGCTGTTGGATGTAAGATTAACATTTTGAAGAAAACTTTGTCTTTTTTTTTTATACCCTTGCAGAGGGTATTATAATTTTGTCCAAAGTGTGCAACGCAGTGAAGGAGACATCTCCGACCCTATAAAGTATATATATTCTTGATCAGGATCACCTCCTGAGTTGATATGAGCATGTCCGTCTGTCCGTCTGTCTGTTTCTACGCGAACTAGTCTCTCAGTTTTAAAGCTATCGACTTGAAACTTTGCACACTCTCCTCTTTCCTTTGCACGCAGTATATAAGTCGGAACGACCCGGATCGGCCGACTATATCCTCTAGCTGCCATATAACTGATTGATCGGAAATGGTATAACTCTGGTGTTTTAAGAGTTAGAGAGTTCAAATTTGACATGAGTGCTATTTTTGGAAAACATTACGACATGCCAAATTTCATAAGGATCGGCCGATTATATCCTATAGCTGTCATATAACTGAACGATCGGAAATGACCCAACTTTCGTGTTTTTGAAGATAGAAAGCTGGAACGCCACACATTTGTACAATACGCGAATTATTATCAACAATTATTTATATTATAAGTTGCTCCATATTTCTTCATATTTTTTATTGATTTGAATTCTTAAATTTGTATTGATATTGCAAACTGATATTAACAAATTTATGAATTTATTTTTGGTGTTTATAGTTTTGAATTGCTTATATTATGCGTATTAAGTTAATCTATCTTCTTCTATCTATATATATAAAAGAAAGTCGTGTTATATGTTCAACGATTCACATGTGAGAGAAAAAAAAAATAGGAGCTATAGGATATAGTCAGCCGATCCGGGCCGTTCCGACTTATATACTGCGTGCAAAGAAAAGAAGGGTGTGTGCAAAGTTTCAAGACGATAGCTTTAAAACTGAGAGACTAGTTTGCGTAGAAACAGACAGACGGACAGACAGACAGACAGACAGACAGACGGACAGACGGACAGACGGACATGCTCATATCAACTCAGGAGGTGATCCTGATCAAGAATATATATACTTTATAGGGTCGGAGATGTCTCCTTCACTGCGTTGCACACTTTTGACCAAAATTATAATACCCTCTGCAAGGGTATAAAGATAAATAAATAATTAATGGCCATATTAAGTGCGTTTTGAACCCTTGAATTTAACGGCTATTTTATTTCGTTAGATATATGGTTAAAAGAGAAGGAGGTGTCTCAAACGTTGGAGATTGGAATAGACCACAGTGTTTTATTATTTTTGATAAAATGTAAAATTAAAAAATCAACGAATTAAAATGGAAAAAACGAATTTAAAAATAAAAAAAAGAAGATGATGTTGGGCAAGCTCGACAAAATGAAGAACAAAATGAGGAGACCAAGGTCCCGAAGATGTAAAATAAAAAAATTATAAAATATGTAATAAAATAAATAAAAAGCAAAAAAAGGACAAATAAGAGAAGGGGGTGTTTTAAACGTTGGAGATTGGAAAAGACCAGTCATTTATCATTTTTAATAAAATGTAAAATAAAAAATGGCATAAAATAAAAATAAATATATGTATAAGATCCATATCATCGTCGAGATCATCGTCTCCAGATCACCCATATGGTTGAAAAATAAAAAAAATTAAATATAGACGAAAATAAATGAAAATCAGAATGCCGTTGATTCGACAATGAAATGTTCATCGTTAATTGTTTAATTTAAAATGAGAAAATAAATAAATATCAGAGAAGTCGAAAAGAAAAAATAAAAATAAAAAGAATACAAAAAATAAAATAGTTGTGGCTCCTTGAGCGGCTGAGCTCCGACTGATTAAAAAGAAATGCTTGTGCCCCTTATATACCCCACATTTTGGCCAGAAAATCGAATGCAAAGCCTTCTTGGTTTGGAATAAATGTACGTCAAATTAGCGTCGCTCAGTTAGCGTCGAAGTGGAACGGTGGAATTGGAACACAGCAACGAATATTTTGTTTTTCAATTATTTCCGTATTTAGCCACTAAATTTAATCAAATAAACACTAGAATTGTTAAGAATTGAATAAACTATTGTTTTTTCTTAGTTTGAGCGGGTTCTTCACTCTTTAAGTAGCTTAAAAATGGGGTTGAAAAATTCCCCCTACACCTTATTGAGCATTATCTGAGAAATAAGAGGATGCGCCAATAAGCGCGATACACCAAACTAATGCATTGGGAAAGCTGCCAACTCTGTACTCTTTAGTGTTGCTGAGATCAGATAACGATGACCGATTTCGATTTCGATATTTAATCGCCAAGCGCCAAGCGATCAACAACTTTCGAAATTAACCATTTTTTTGTGTTTTGCGTGTTTTGTGCAAATTGCATTTTGAACGGGGAGATTTCGAGTGAGACCGAACCGATGGCCACGCTACGGAACCACACGGGTAATGAGAATTCCGGCGAGGACTCGCCTTGTGTATGTGCAGCGGAGTGTGGCACTGCTCGGCACCAAGGTGCAGCCGCATCATTTTGCTCCCCTGCCGGGAAATCTGGAACTAGCCCGCTTCTATGTGGACCTGATGGGCGCCTTAGACACCGAGGGCTCAGGGGCGGAAGTCCTTTGGTCCTGCGTGGCGCTCATCCAGCACTGTAGTCGCAACCTGGAGGCTCGCCGGGCCATTGTGGTCAAGTTCTGTTTTGTGCCGCTGCTGGGAATGATTCTGCGCCGCACCCAGCGGGCGGAACGTGTCCACCGGCTGCTGGTACTTCTGCAGGATTTGACCTACGGCATACAAATCGACTGGGAGGAGCCCTACCTGGCAGCCCTGCTAGAGCACCTGGCAGAGATAGTACACAGAGTAGAGGATGGCTCTGACAACGGGAACGGCACCTCCTCCAGCAAGGCCGACGAGGAGGAGAACTCGCACGCCCTGCTAGCTCTTTGCCGTGCTGTTCCTCTTCCAAAGGATTGTAAACATCTCTGGATTCTGTCGCCGCATCCAAAACTATGGTCTACTAGCTTACAAAATGCAAATTATCCTCTCGGAGGAGGTTCATGCCTTTGAGCAGCGGGAACTCCACACCTTCCTCCGTACAGCCTTCGCCGGCATGGAGGACTGTCTTAAGCACTGGAACGTGGCGCAGTTAAGGCACATTGTGGACTTTTTGCTTGACTCCCAGTCCCACGCCGGCCTGCACAGGGCCATGCTCTCGCACAGTCATTACTGCGAGGATGTGGAAAAGCTGTTGGATGTAAGATTAACATTTTGAAGAAAACTTTGTCTTTTTTTTTATACCCTTGCAGAGGGTATTATAATTTTGTCCAAAAGTGTGCAACGCAGTGAAGGAGACATCTCCGACCCTATAAAGTATATATATTCTTGATCAGGATCACCTCCTGAGTTGATATGAGCATGTCCGTCTGTCCGTCTGTCTGTTTCTACGCGAACTAGTCTCTCAGTTTTAAAGCTATCGACTTGAAACTTTGCACACTCTCCTCTTTCCTTTGCACGCAGTATATAAGTCGGAACGACCCGGATCGGCCGACTATATCCTCTAGCTGCCATATAACTGATTGATCGGAAATGGTATAACTCTGGTGTTTTAAGAGTTAGAGAGTTCAAATTTGACATGAGTGCTATTTTTGGAAAACATTACGACATGCCAAATTTCATAAGGATCGGCCGATTATATCCTATAGCTGTCATATAACTGAACTATCGGAAATGACCCAACTTTCGTGTTTTTGAAGATAGAAAGCTGGAACGCCACACATTTGTACAATACGCGAATTATTATCAACAATTATTTATATTATAAGTTGCTCCATATTTCTTCATATTTTTTATTGATTTGAATTCTTAAATTTGTATTGATATTGCAAACTGATATTAACAAATTTATGAATTTATTTTTGGTGTTTATAGTTTTGAATTGCTTATATTATGCGTATTAAGTTAATCTATCTTCTTCTATCTATATATATAAAAGAAAGTCGTGTTATATGTTCAACGATTCACATGTGGAGAAAAAAATAGGAGCTATAGGATATAGTCAGCCGATCCGGGCCGTTCCGACTTATATACTGCGTGCAAAGAAAGAAGGGTGTGGAAAGTTTCAAGACGATAGCTTAAAACATTAGAAGACTAGTTTGCGTACAAGACGACAGACGGACAGAGAAAAAAAAAGAGGAGGAAGACAGGGGGAGGAGGTAATTGCTATTATAAATCTGGAGGTGATCCTGATCAAGAATATATATTGTGATAGGATAACTCCAGGGGATTGGTTTAGTTGGTCTTTATTTGGGGGGGCGGGGGGGGGCCCCCCCAACGTTCAAAATTACAATATTTCTTAAGTCTAAGTAAGGCTAAGTCTCGTAACAGCGCTGCTCGCAGGCGGCGGCAGAGAGACGGCTATGTACTTATATATAAAGGAATATAATAATATACGTTGTTATGCGCTCTCAAGTGGCGGCGCGAGGGGTATGCATATGCTGACCGTTTGTTACGATTATGCTGACACTAGCACTTTCTGTGTGCGGGCTAAGCCATAACGATCGGTTCATATTTCGGCCACTTAGGGTTTATGACCGGGACTTTGGATTTGGATGTGCATACTACTTCTCCCTCCTTTTGAAAAATAACGTAATATAATAAAGTTATTTTTATAATAAAAATTTCTAATTAATACATCTTTTTTTTTAAATTTTTGTTTTGTTTTATGTGGTGAGAATCATAGAAAATGAAATTATTAAAAAACGAGAAAGGAAAGCTAACTTCGGGCGGAGCCGAAGTGTATATACCCTTGCAGTTAAAACCGGACATATGTCGCAAACATCGGATATAGTTGGCCGCTCCTTATGGGAATATGAATATATAATCCAATTTATTACAATACATAATCTAAAAAAAGTCCCAAACTTCTATCTTCAAACATACCAAAGTTGGTATTTCTACCAAATACCATTTCCGATCGTTCAGTTATATGGCAGCTATAGGATATAGTCGGCCGATCCTAATGAAATTTGGTAGGTGTGGATAAACTGACCAAAAAATATAATCTGTACCAAGTTTCAGCTTTCTATCTTCAAAAACACGAAAGTTGGGTAATTTCCGATCAATCAGTTATATGCAGTAAATATAGTCGGCCGATCCTTTAATTTAAAAACCATGTCAAATTTGAACTCTAACCAACTCCATTCATCAGTTATATGGCAGCTATAGGATATAGTCGGCCCGTTCCGTTTTTATAGTGGCAAAGGATAGAAGGCTGTGCAACGTTGCAAGTACGATTATATTTAAAATGAGAGACTAGTCTGCGTAGCAAATATACAGACGGATCAGCCAACCGACGGACAACGGACAGACGGACATGCCATATCAACTCAGGTGATCCTACTATATCCGAGATGTCTCCTGCACTGACTTTGAAAATTATAATACCCTTTGCAAGGGTATAATGAAATTATTAAAAGAATATGTGTATTTATTTATCTATGTATGTGTGTCTTTGTATGGCCATACTAAGTGCAATTTATGAAATAAAGATTTTTAATCTATCCTTATGAACTGTTTGTTTTTTATGTTTATTATTTGTTATTACTATGTTATCTCTATCTCCTATTTCCGTTACTATATACGGACCTGTATATTTAGGATCTAACTTATGACCTGTCTCGTTTTTTAATAAAACTTTGTCACCTACTGATATATCTATATCCCTTACTTTATGATCGTATAGTAGTTTATTTCTATTCTTATTTGCTTCTAACATAACTCTAGCTCTTTTATAGGCTACTTCTAATCTATACTTACTCTCCTTAGCATAGTCATCTATATTATATAGTGCTTCTACACTATCTATGCTATTAAAATGTTTTGGCAAATTACTTGTTTTACCGAATACTAGCTCATATGGACAATATGTATGTGCCATAGAGGGGGTCGTGTTGAAACAGAAGACAAAATATTGAAGCCATACGTCCCAATCAGTTTTATCAACCGATATGTAAGATCGTATGTATTCATTGAAAGTTCTATGACTTCTTTCTATTGTTCCAACTGTCTGGTGGTGGTGTGCTGTGGATGTAATATTTTCAATATTTAAATATTTGCACAAATCGTCTATAATTGAATTCTTATATTCTGTTCCCATGTCCGTAATGAACGTCTTCATTGGACCGTACTTCAGGATAAAAGATTCAAATATTGCTTTAGCGACAGTATTGGCATTTTTATTCGGAAGAGGTATGGCAACTAAATACTTAGTTAAATCACATATTAAAGTGACTGCATACTCATTGCCATTTTCTGATTTTGGCAGTGGACCAATAGTGTCCACTAACACTCTGTCGAAAGCATTTATTGGTGTGTCTGTAATTGTTAAAGGGGTCTTTGTGTGTTTAGTTATTTTGGATTTCTGGCATTTTTGACATTTTCTTACGTACTCAGTTATATCTTTAGACATGCGTTTCCAGTAATAGTGTCTTTTTACTTTGGCCAAAGTTTTTGATATGCCAGTATGACCTCCTTGAATTGGATAATTATGAAATGTAGACAAAATTGCTTCTTTTTCTTTTAAATTTGTTATTTGGGTCACCGGGTTGAGTAGCGCTACTCTTAATGTTTTCAATATTTTATTGCCCATTAATTTAAATTTATCTATTGAATTATATTCAAAGATATTTTCCCACGGTGCCACTTTGAGTTGGCTGATTTTATGTATACCGGCTTGCATTTCAAGCCTTTGGAAAAATTGATCTAAATCAATAACTCCATTAGTATATAAATCGCTAACATCATATCTTGCAGTAATTTTTCTGCCTTGTTTAAATAAACATAACATATTTTTTATCTGCAAGGTCACTACTTTACGTACTTCATCATTGTTTATGACGTCGTATACGTTGGGCTTAGAAGCTTTATTTAAAGATTGCCTTGGCAATTCTTGTTCTTGATTTTCCGCGCGGAATTTTTGTCTACTTTGATATCTAGTAGTGACTTTTAATACATTTCTAGTTATATTTTGTAGATCTTTGATGGTTATTCTTGATAACGCATCAGCTACATGATTATCTTTTCCCTTTAAATATTCGACTGTAAAGTCGTATTCTTCTAGTTCGAGCCTCATACGTGTCAGTTTAGAACTGGGATTGGTCATTGAGAAAAGGTATATTAAAGGTCTATGGTCTGTTCTTATTAAGAAATGTGTTCCATATATATATGGTCTAAAATATAATATCGCCCAGTGAATTGCAGCTAATTCCTGCTCAGTAGTACATTTGTTACTTTCACCTTTTGTAAATGCTCTTGATGCGTATGCAATGGGAAGTTGGAGACCATTATGATTTTGAGTTAAAACCGCTCCACATGCTTGCTTACTTGCATCTGTTATTATGCAGAATTCTTTAGTGAAATCTGGGTATTGTAGCAAGGTAGGTTCCATAAGTTTTGTTTTTAAGTATTGGAATGCATTTTCACACTCATCCGTCCATTTAAAAGGAACATTCTTTTTACATAATCTTGTTATGTGCCGTGAATAATCGGCGAAATTTTTTATAAAGCGTCTATAATAGTTACAGAATGCTACAAAACGTCTAGCACTGTCCGCGTCGTGCGGAACTGGGTAGTTCATAATGACATCGTATTTCTTGTCATCTGGAAGTATTCCTTTATCAGTGCATTTATGACCTAGAAAAGTCACTTCATGCATAAAAAATGAACATTTTTCTGGATGTAGCTTTAGGTTGAATTTCCTACATTTCTCAAAAACATCTGTTAAGTTTTTAAGCATATGTTTTTCGGAACAACCGATTACTATTAAGTCATCCATATAAAGAAACGCTTGAGAAGGTTCTAGACCAGAGAACGCAATAGTCATCATTCTCTGAAACGAATTAGGAGCTATTTTTAATCCGAAGGGTAATCGCGTGAAGCGATATGAGCCGTTGCTCGTTGAAAAGACGTTATATCTCTTGAACCTTTTTCTAGTTCAATTTGATGGAATCCTGACATT